TCTTTCCCTTTGTGTTCGTCATTTTGGTTAATTACTGGAAGATGGTGGTTCTGAACAAAAGGACGGGACTGTAATACTTACTCAGCTCATTAATTTTTCTTGGGGAAACTAATTCCAAAACTGTGTAGCTCCAAAACAGGTAAACAGTTTGAATGAAGAAAAAGACTTCTGAAATCTTTTTATTTTTTTCATGATAGAGTAATGCCCACACATGTGCAAGAGAGGGAGAAAGAGATGATCGCTCTTCACAGGGTCTGACCATGCTGTGATCCCCTTCTTCCAATCCTCCAGCTTTAGGATTGGTGGCATTTGCACCCATGTCTACCATGTTTCAGGCTGGCCATGTCAGGGATTAGCACTATGATCACCACATAAGAGCCAGCTTCTCATGAACAGTGCACTACTACTGCTCCACAGAGCTGGCCTTAAGACCTATAGAATCTTTAGGTGAAAGTAATCATTCACTGGGCTCTAGATCAACTCATTAGCTCTCTCTTTTCTAGTCTGTACCTAGCACAAAACTCAGTGGATAGAGGATAGGAAGGAAAAAGGAGGACCATAGGGAAGATGATGTACGGAAGTTCTTTTTTTTAATTTGGCAGAGGACGTGTACACTCACACTTGGAGAGAGAGACAGAGAAAAAATAGGTCTCATGGAGGATGTTCATGATGCAATCAATCCTTTCTCCTCTACCTCTCTCTCCTTTTGGGATTTTGGGCTCGCACCTGTGCCTGGCATGCTTTTCAAGCCATCAAGTCCAGACTTGACCTGTACTGTCGGACATATGAGATCCAGTCGCCTTAACTACCACACCACTGGCTATACCAATCTACGGCCCTGAATAAAAACAATTTTTTCCTTTTTAATTCAGATACTTACCCAGGAGGTAGAGGTTCTGGTCTATCCCATGTTGTTCTTTTTTCAACGTGATCTACATAATAAACTCGCCCATGCTGGTCCACTCTTTGCTCCCAGCTTAAACACAAAATTAAAAAGGTTGGTAACATAGTTGCATGAATAGCTTCGTTTTTAAATCCTATCTTTGCCTGTTTCCCTTAAATGAACATATTAGAGAACTGAGGGAGATAAGCATGTCAGTTTATAAAGAAAATACCAACAGAATTTAAGATAAAAGTTAAGACATGCCATCTTCTGAGGGTGACACATAATGGATAAGCTTTCTTCTACACAAGTGTCTGCTTTAGAAGATGACTTGCATTTCTTAATTTTTTTTAAAACAGATTTTTGCTATAGGGAGCAGGTGTTCACTGGAGACACAGGGAGAAAAAGAGAAGGAAAGCAAGAAATCATCCCCCAGAGGGGATGGCTACACTACAATCCATTCTCCTCCACTTTCCTCTTGGGATCTTGGGCACGCACGCATATGCACCTGGTGTGAGTTTCAAGTCACCAGGTCCAGGACTTAAACCACAGTCTATGTAGGAGCCAGTGACATAACCATTATGCTATCTGCTGGTACAAATGACTTGTATTTTTTTTTTTTTTTGTAGAGGTTTTTGCTATAGGGCACGTGCGCTTGCCAGACAGAGAGAGACATAGAGATAGAAAGCGAGAAATCACCCCCCCAGGGGGGATGGTCACGCCGCAATCCCTTCTTCTCCATTCTCCTCTCGGGATCTTGGGCACGCACGCACACATGCCCGGTGTGAGTTTTAAGCCACCGGGTCCAGGACGCAGACCACGGTTGACTACGTGGGAGTCCAGCGACATAGCCATTATGCTAACTGCTGGTTCCCAAATGACTTGTATTTCTAAAGGAGGCTTGAGTTCAGTCCACTTTGGAGATGAATGCCATTCTCAATCTGATCAGGGTATCATCAAGACTGAGTAGAAAAGAATGCTATAATTAATGTTATAAAACCTAAACAAGACTAAGGTAACTAAAGGTACATAGTCTATTTGCATTCTAGAAAAACGGAAATCAATGAATAAGCCTGTACAGATTGTAGACTGGCCAATCTGAGCAGTTTTCTTAACAAATTTATCCCCAAAAAGAAGACTGGAAGTACCAATGACTTCTAAACTATATTTAAAATATATTCTTCTATTTTTTTTTTTTTGAGAGGTTTTTGCTATCGGGCGTGTGCGTTAGCCAGAATGACAGAGACAGAGAGACAGAAAGTGAGAAATCACCTCCCCTCAGGTATTTAAGAGAGGGGATGGCCATGCCGTAATCCTTCTCCTCTATACTCCTTTTGGTATCTTGGGCGCGTGAGTTTAAGCCACTGGGTCAGGGACTCAAACAGCGGTTGACTACATGGGAGTCCAGCAACATAGCCATTATGCCAACTGCTGGTCCCCTATTCTTCTATTTTAATCTCTACATGATTGACTTTCTAATCTGACTTGCTCTGTAGGCTTTCCAAAAGATAAGCAACCTACCAACATGGGAACCAGCAGTTAGCGTAATGGCTATGTCGCTGGACTCCCACGTCGTTGACCGCGGTTCGCGTCCCGGACCCGGTGGCTTAAAACTCATGCCGGGCGCGTGTGCGTGCGTGGCCAAGATTCCGAGAGGAGAATGGAGGAGAAGGGATTGCAGCGTGACCATCCCCCCTGGGGGGTGATTTCTCGCTTTCTGTTTCTATGTCTCTCTCTGTCTGGCTGGCAAGTGCAAGCGCCCTATAGTGAAAAAAAAAAAAACAAACCAAAAAAAAAAAAAAAAAAAAAAAATTGCCTACCAACACAAGTTAATATAATCTATGAGGCAATTCAAATTCTGATCATTAGAGTTTATTATCATCAATTTAGTATTTATTGCATCCTAAGTACTGGATTGAGTACTATAATGTATATATAAATACAAATTACACAGAAGTATTAATTTTAAAAACAGATTAAAATGGGATTATGAAAACTGATTTTCTCAGTTTGCTAAATTATCTCTTACTTTATTGTAATGACTTCATGATGGATATAATTTTTTTCACTTTAAAAAGGGATTCTCATCCCCAAAGAACAATCTGAGCTAGATGACTATTTTAATAAATCAATTAATTAATTAATTAATTTTTAGGATTTTTTTAAAGAGGTTTTTGCTATAGGGCACGTGCGTTTGCCAGACAGACAGAGACGGCGAGATAGAAAGCGAGAAATCACCCCCCAGGGGGGATGGCCACACCACAATCCCTTCTCCTCCATTCTCCTCTCGGGATCTTGGCCACACACGCACACGCACCCGGCGTGAGTTTTAAGCCACCGGGTCCGGGACGCGAACCGCAGTTGACTACGTGGGAGTCCAGCGACATAGCCATTACGCTCACTGCTGGTCCCTTAATTATTTATTTTTGAGAGGGTTTTGCTATAAGACAAGTGTGCTCACCAGAAAGACATAGACAGAGGGGGGGAGGGATGGCCACACTGCAATCCCTTCTCTTCTCCGGATTTTGGGCATGCGCATGCACACACGAACCCGGTGTGAGTTTTAAGCTGCCAACTCCAAGACTCAAACAGGGGCTGACTATGTGGGAGCCCAGCAACATACCCATTATGTCACCTGCTGGTCCTGATGACTATTTTATTTTATTACGTGCCTAGGTTAACTTTCTATGGTTCAGGGTTCCTCAATACAAAAATGTATTCTTCTATTTTTCCCTGAATACAAGGGTAAGATTTCAAATAGGGTGAATTTTTTTTGTTCAGTTTGACTCTGGGTACTAAAAAAGCAGTTATAATTGTTTGAAAACAGTTACTAAAAGAAAGAGTTTAGTATTATTTTTATCAATTGAATACATGCAGAAGCCTAAAGAAAACAAATGTTAATCAAAAAATCTTACCCAGGTGGTAGAGGAGCTTGAGTTACAGGATTTAATGGTCGAGGGCCCGAGCCTCCAGATATAGTAAGAGGAATAATTAATCCAGATGTTGCACCTTCAGATGTATTCGTATTTGTTGGTGGTAGAGAGCCTGTACTAGATCCATCACTTTCAGAAGTGGCAGATGGTGAACCATTGACAGATGCTATAAAGATTTGGGGAAAATAAGAAAGGAATCTTTCATTTTCTGACAAGTACTTAAAGAAAACAAGTAATAGGAAACAGCCAATGCTTCCAAATAGACTTGTTTACAACTTCAAAGGTCTTATGTACCCTGTGTATCATTATTAATTATAAAGCACATACAGATCTCTGACTTTCTGAAATATGAGCAAATAAAAACTTTTAGAGTGGAAAGGTGTTAGCATTTCATGTAAGTTCATTTAATAATGTTCCAGATCCTTTAAAACGTTTTCCCTATGAAAATTTGTAGAGACGAATTCTTGATGTTGGTAATGATGTGAAAGATCTGATAAGCAATAATATTCTTATAGTTACTAAACACTTATTACATCTTCAAGAAATACTTGTTTGGGGACCAGTAGATGGCGCGGTGGTTAAGGCGCTGGACACTCCTACATGGCCGACCATGATTCGAGTCCCGGACCTGGTGGCCTGCATTCTCACTTTCCTTCTCTCTCTCTCTGTCTCTCTTTCTCTCTTTCTCTCTCTCTGGTCAAATTAAAATAAATGAAAAAAAGAAAAAGAAAAGAAAAGAAATACTTGTTCATAGAACAATCACAGAGGAAGTCACGAAGATTACAACAAAGGTATATGGTCTTAAAGACTTTGAATATATTGTTAACACAATTATCTATGGGAAAAGGGGAAGATGTACAATTAAATACAAACTTAATAAAACAGTTTGTGGGAACCAGCAGCTGGCGTAATGGCTATATCGCTGGACTCCCATGTAGTCAACTGCAATTTGAGTCCCGGACCTGGTGGCTTAAACTCACACCAGGCGCATGTGCACGAGTGCTCAAGATCCTGAAAGGAGAATGAAGGAGAAGGGATTATGGAGTGGCCCTACCCCTGGGGGGTGTTTTCTTGCTTTCTGTTTCTTTTGTCTTTCTGGCGAGCGTATGCACCCTATAGCAAAAACCTCTCCTGAAAACAAACGTTTGTGACCATCTATCTGATTTACTTTTCTAATAATATCTGCTTTGATTACTTTCATTCCTTGCCCATATACTAGTATAGGGAAATAATAAGACTAAGGAACTATTCTGGCTAATTAGAAAAGTTGACATTCTGGGACCAGTAGTTAGCGCAATGGCTATGTCACTGGACTCCCATGTAGCTGACTGCGGTTCAAGTCCTGGGCCCGGTGGCTTAAACTCACGCTGGGCGTGTGTGTGTGTGCATTCCCAAGATCCTGAGAGAAGAACGAAGGAGAACGAAGTGGCCATCCCCGCTGGGGGGTAATTTCTCGCTTTCTGTCTCTCGGTCTCTGTCTTTCTAGTGAGCGCATGTGCCCTAGAGCAAAAACCTCTCCAAAAAAGAAAGAGACGTTCTGTATGTTCATCTTTTATATAATTTTTGACTAAAAATTTGAGTTATCATTTAGCATTGTTGAGTGATTCGTTATGTACTAATTATTCTTTTTTAAGGACATAATGGGAATAAACAACTAGATCCATGACTAAATAAATTGCTTATGTCACAGTTACAAACCATCCGGAAAGCTGCAATCTTATCTGTAAACTCTGTGTTTATATAATACACATGTGATTTTCATTCTCAATAGAGCACTGAATAATAACTTCATACCTGAAAGAAAAAATTTAGGGGAAAGGCATTTCTTGGTTACTGATAAAAAGATCATTCTTGGCCAAAATCATAAATGTAAAAATAGTCAGAAAACTGACCTAGTAGGGTCTCCTGACCCTTAACTAAGGATCCATTCCTAAATAGAACATTATTAACAATCACAGTATTGAGGGCTTGAATACGCACCTGGTCTACGTGGGGTTGGCGGAGGTGGTCTAGAAGGTCTTGGAGGTCTAGAAGGTTTAAAACCACCATTTGAGAGTGAAGGAGAATTATTTCCATTGAGCCTTCTATTTTCACCAGACCCTGCATCCTCAGGGTCATCTGATCCATTTGTGTTCACTCTGGGTTAGGCAGTAGGGGGGAGGGGAAAAAAAAAAAAAAAAAGAACAAAGTCCTTTTGAAAAAAGATCAAACAGCAAAAAGACCAAAAATTTTAAGTTTTAGGAGCTTGAGAAAAGTAGTACCTCTCCTAAGAAACTTTGATTTTGAGAACTTGGTATTTATTTCCTGCTTATACAGGGCCTTCTGAGACTTACTTGAAATGTAAACTAGTATACTTAATTGTTTTGAATGGTTCGAGTGCTTCTGTTCCCTTGGGTAACCCCTCACTCAATGTCTCGTGGACTCTGGAGGTTATGTAAGACTTCACCCAGACAATCATTACATATTTGATAAGGCTAGCCTAGAATCAGGAAGTACAGTGCACTTATTTACAGAAACCAGGCACTGTTCCCACCCTAGTAAGATTACATATAAAATGCTCAGTTAGTGATCTGGAGTAGAGATGCCCACAGACTTTTTTTTTTAAGGAGCTGTCATTTCTGCAAAGGAAGACAGTATCAACTGGAATGAAGGAAAAGGGGGAAGGACACTAATAAGAAATGTGAGATTGAAAGCTACTATCAGCTAAATAGAGTTGATTCCTTTTCCCAAGAGGATTCTGATATCCACTACCTACAAATCACAACATGGTATTAACCCATATTGTTGGACTTTCAGAATAAGATTAAACAAAATAAAATTTAATAGATTCAATAAACCGAGAGGCAGAACATGTATTAAATTGTTTGGGTTTTGGCGTTTTTTTTGTAATGTAGGTACTGTAGGGTTTTGATTTTTTTAAATAAAAATTACAATATTTGAGGTATACAACATATTTTTAAAAAAAGAATTGTTTTATTGGGACCAGCAGTCTGTATAATGGCTATGTCACTGGACGCCTATGTAGTTGACCACGGTTCGAGTCCCAGACCTGGGGGCTTAAACTCACGCTGGGTGCATGTGTGTGTGCACATGCCCAAGATCCCGAGAGGAGAATGGAGAAGGGACTGCAGCATGGCCATCCCCCCTGGGGGGTGATTTCTCACTTTGTCTCTCCCTGTTTTTCTGGTGAGTACACATACCCTATAGCAAAAAACCTCTCGAAAAGAAATTGTTTTATTAACTATTTATTTATTTTAATTTGACCAGAGAGAGAGACACAGTGAGAGAAAGGGGAGGTGGTGGTGTGCAGAGATGACAAAGAAAGCCGCTGGGTCCAGGACTCAGAAGGCCATGTGGGAGTCCAGCACCCCTAACCACCATGCCACCAGCCAGCTCCACAACAGATGTTTTGATATACATATACATAGTAAAAGGATTACTACAGTCAAACTAATTAATGTATCCATCACCTCACATAGTTACTTTTTAAAAATTTTTTATTTGCATTATTTTATGCTGAATGTACCCTAAGTTTTTGTTTCTTCAGTTCTTTCTGGAATTTTTTTATTCTGTGAAACCTCCTCTTCTAGTTTAGGAACAGTCTGTTCCCATTCAGTAAGGACCACCCTGATATGTCACAGAGAACTCATATATGGGTTAATCCGATTATGAGCTAAGTACAGAAGTACATCTTGGGTACCTTGTTCACTTGAATATGTTCAATAACCAGAGAACCTACATCTAAGCCTTTAAATTCAGCATTATTCTCTATTTTTAAGCATGTGCAGTAAAAGCTCGACACTCTTTTTGGACCAAGGACACTATGTCCATTCCCACTGCTTAGCATGGGCACACAACTAATTCCACCACTGTAATGATGGAACGGCAAACGCGGCCTTCTATAAAATTGCGTATTTCAGATACTTGGTGGCTTTTTGGATATGCATGCCCTGGACAGCCTGGCAGTTTCACAGGGATCTTAGAATGGATACAAAGATTTTAACTGTTAGATCTGCATAATTTTGGGGGGCCCTCTGTGAATCCAGTGAATAATAAACAATCTTCACAAATCAGTTCAGGCCGCTTATAAGAAGAGCCATTCACAGTTACTCTGTATTTCTAAAATTATTTTCAAACCATATTCTCCAAGAGTTCTTTCAGGCTTCTGTACTTGAAGTGTGGTCTCTGGACCAGAACTGTTGGCACCAAAAAGAAGTTCGTAAAAAATACATAATCTTGGAGCCAATTCCAGACCTACCATATCAGGACTAGCATTTTTCCCCCTTATCTTTAGTTTCGTTGTTGTTACTGTTTTTTTTTTTTTTTTGCTATAGGTTATGTGAGCTTGCCAGGGAGGGACTAAGAGAGAGAGAAAGATAAGGAAAGTAAGAAATCATCCCCCAAGGTGGGTGACCACACCACAATCCCTTCTCCTCCATTCTCCTCTCAGAATTTTGGGCATGCACACACAAACACGTACCCAGTGTGTTTTTCAGGCAACTGGGTCCAGGACTCGAAAGCACAGTCAGCCACGTGGAATCCAGCTGCCTTAGTCATCACACCACCTGCTGTCCCCTGCCCCATTTGTGTGTGTGTATTTAATCTGCTATAGTATGTGTGTTATTTGCTGGAGAGAAAGAAAGTGAGAAAGCATTCCACCCTGCCCCTGAAGGGGGTTGACCATGCCACAATCCCTTCTCCTCCAATTCTCTTCGTAGAATGTTATGTATGCATATATATGCATCCAGCATGGTGTTTTTTGTTTTTTGGTTTTTTTTTTATGAGAAGTTTCTGCTATAGGGTACATGCACTCACTGGAGAGACAGAGATAGATAGAAAGTGAGACATCACCTATGGAGGGGATGGCTATGAGGCAATTCCTTCTCCTCCATTCTCTTCTCAGTATTTTGGGCATGCACACACACGCTCCTGGCGTCACATTTAAGCTGCCAGGTCCAAGACTCAAACTGTGGTCAATTTCGTGGGAGTACAGCGACGAAACCATTATGTCATCTGTTGGTCCCAACTCGGAGTGTTTTTTTTTAAAGAATTACTTATTTTTAATTTTACTTGTTCATTCATTTACTTTAATTTGACCAAAGACAGACACAGAGAGAAGGAAAGTGAGAAAGCAAGCCACCAGGTCTGGGACTCAAACCGTGGTCAGCCACGTGGGAATGTCTAGCGCCTTAACCACCACTCCACCTGTTGGCCCCCCAGAGTGTTTTTTAAGCTGCCAAGTCCAGGACTAGAAGCACGTGCGGTTCTCTCAGTCATGTGAGATCCAACTACCTCAACTGCCACATCACCTGGCTGGCCCTAGAACTAAGTTTAATAATTTAGCAGTAGGACCAGCAGCTGGCTTAATGGCTATGTCACTGGATTCCCATGTAGTCGACCAGGGTTCGAGTCCCGGATCCAGTGGCTTAAACTCACACCAGTCGCATGTGCGTGCGTGCCCAAGATCCCAAGTAAAGAATGGAGAAGAAGGGATTGCAGCGTGGCCATCCCCCCTGGGGGGTGATTTCTCGCTTTCTGTCTCTTTGTCTCTGTCTTTCTGGCAAGCACACACGTCCTATAGCAAAAATCTCTAAAAATAATAATAATAATTTAGCAGTAAGGTATGGCAAGCAGCATTACTTTGGGGGATCACTAAGATGCTTGTTTTGAATCTAGCAAAGAGCTCAATAATTAGTAGTCAGCATGTGATTAATGTTGACTGCCTGTAGAAAAGACCACTACCCTAGAATGTGGTTTGAATCCAAGAAGACAGATCTTTTTTGTTTTTAATACAGGGTCTCATTGTTGGGATCCCCCTGTGTTAGCCTCCCAGCTGGGTCCATAAGCACATGCCACCACATTCAGCTACTTTTTATTATTTTTTTTAATTTTTATTTATTTATTTGTTTTTGGAGAGGTTTTTGCTACAGGACGCGTGCGCTCGCCAGACAGAGACAGACAGAGAGATAGAAAGCGAGAAATCACCCCCCAGGGGGGATGGCCATGTTGCAATCCCTTCTCCTCTGTTCTTCTCTCGGGATCTTGGGCACGCACACACACGCACCTGGCGTGAGTTTTAAGCCACCAGGTCCGGGACGCGAACCGTGGTCAACTACGTGGGAGTCCAGCGACATAGCCATTACACTAACTGCTGGTCCCTCAGCTGTTTTTTAGACAGGATCTTACTATGCTCTCCAGGCCAGCCTCAAGTTCTTAATCCTCTTGTCTCAGCCTCCCCAAATCACTGAGATTACAAACTCATGCTAACATGCCCAGTCTTTAAGATGGACCAGGAAGAGTATGGGTTTTTTTTGGAGAGAGATTTTTGCTATAGGACATGTGGTGCTCACCAGAGAGACACGTCTAAGATTCACAAGATAAAGTCTCACTCCTACTCATCCCCTTGTTGGAAAAGAAGAAATGATAGCTCATGCCTCTGGAAAGCTAGGAAATTAGATATGACAAATGACTGTGACAAACTAGTAGCAACATCACAGGTTCAATGAGATTAGTGTACTGGTATTAAAATGAATGGTAACAGAAAAACAGTAATTTAGTATGACAAAATGCTCTTTTTAGATCTTGATGATCATATACCCAGGCAAACTTTTTTTTTATTTTAATTGTGCTTCATTGGTCTTTATCTTTATGTGCAATATTCAACTTCTGAAAGCCTGATTACAGCAAAGACATTGGATTACAAGAGTTATCATTGATGTTATTCAACGACTTCAACTGGACTGTCATACTGCTTGGTAATCAATTGCTTTTACCATCTCTAATCCTAATTCCTGGAAACATTCCCACTACCCATTACAAACCTCTTCCATCTCCTCAAATACCCAATCCTAATATACAAATGATCCTGACTCCTCCCTCCTCCTCCCTTAAATTGGATTACAAGAGTTATCATTGATGTTATTCAACGACTTCAACTGGACTGTCATACTGCTTGGTAATCAATTGCTTTTACCATCTCTAATCCTAATTCCTGGAAACATTCCCACTACCCATTACAAACCTCTTCCATCTCCTCAAATACCCAATCCTAATATACAAATGATCCTGACTCCTCCCTCCTCCTCCCTAAAATGATTATCTGTTACCTCTCAACCTTTTCCCCTACCTTAATATTTCT